CCTAAACCTAAACCTAAACCTAACCCTAAACCCTAAACCCTAAACCCTAAACCCTAAACCCTAAACCCTAAACCCTGAAGCCCTGAAGCAACGGCGGGAAGGTCGCCTCCAGGATTTTCGCGCTCGGCCGCGAGACGAAGCTCTGCCTCAAAGCTCCGGAGCGGCTTTCTGAACTTGAAAAAAGGGTTGTAGGGTTTAGGGTTTAGGGTTGTAGGGTTGGGGTTGTAGGGTTGTAGGGTTTAGGGTTTGGGGTTGTAGGGTTGTAGGGTTGGGGCTGTAAGGTTGTAGGGTTTAGGGTTTGGGGTTGTAGGGTTGTAGGGTTTAGGGTTTGGGGTTGTAGGGTTTAGGGTTGTAGGGTTGTAGGGTTGTAGGGTTGTAGGGTTGTAGGGTTGTAGGGTTTAGGGTTTAAGGTTGTAGGGCTTAGGGTTGTAGGGTGTAGGGTTTAAGGTTGTAGGTTGTAGGGTTTAGGGTTGTAGGGTTTAGGGAGGTCAGTAAGTAAATATGTGCATATGTGAACAGACAGACGAACAAGACATATAGGGTTCAATAATAAAAAGGTAGGCAAGGGTCAACAAACATGTAATTAAATGAATGTATATACATGTATGTACATATGTATAAATACATAGAGAGAGAGAGAGTGTGTGTGTGTAGACATGTATATATATATATATGTGCATATACATACACATACGTATTAGCTACACATATTTCGGACATGTGCTTGTTTATGTGTTTCTGAAAATCATATAATGAAACAGCCTCAATAATATCTGAATTTGAAAAGCATCTGAGCCTACATATTTTCGCATATACACCCAAACAGGCTCGGTCGAGTTGCCATTGCGGCATCTGCATCACCTCAATCGCGGCCATCTTGCCCAACTTCCGCCCGGCATTCGCCTGAGTTGAAACCGTTAGCAACCCTAAACCTCACCTAAATAACGTAACGCACAAAGCGTATAAAAGGCCACTATTCTACATACTTTTGGGATCCAGGAACCCCCAAAAACCGTAAATCAACAACCCTATCCCTGAACCGGTGAAGTCCTCAGATTCAAGCCTACCTACACCCCCAGAGTCCCGAGGTTGTAGGTTTGCGATTTTTTGCGGTTCCTTTGCAGGGATCTGTAAGGGTTCCTCTAACAGGATCTATAGGGGTTCCTGTAAAGGGATCTGTAGGGCTTCGTCTAGGGGGATCTCTAGAGGTTCTACTGGGGTTTAGGACTTAGGGTTTAGATCGCTCAAGGCAATTCAGATGAGGCCATTTGGGCAGCCGAGGAGTTGAACAAACGGCTCAAAAAAAAACTCAAGACGCCCACCTCTAATCTGCAGCGTACTCCTTTGTTTAGGTTACCTTTGTAGCATCCTAAATATAACGCTGGTTAAAACCAAACAGGGAACTACAATGGAGACTATGGGAAAGCTCAAACCCTTCACCCAAGGGAGGTTGAATCGGGTCTTCGACACTTCAGCGAGGATTCGAAATTGGGCGGCAGCTGATGGCTGACAGTTGACAGGGGCAAACCGCCTTTACCATGAGAACCCTGCAGAGGTTTGATTTGATATACTAGAATATACTCTATAAATGAAATTCTGCTACAAAATACTTCAATAGACAAGAGTATACGAAAAGAGGTTACAAGTTCCAACCGCCCAGAGAGCTTGGCCAATGCCTTCGGGCCTGGAGGTTGACGTTGTCCTCAAACCCTGACCCGAAGCGAACTGTAAGGGTTTAAGGTTTCAGGGCTTCAGGGTTTAGGGTTTCAGGGTTTAGGGTTTCAGGGTTGAGGGCTTCAGGGTTTCAGGGTTTAGGGTTAAGCGTATACCTGGACCCAAAAGCGAACTAGAAGGGCTTATGGTTTAGGGTATACCTGGACCCAAGGCGAAATATGAGGGTTTAGGGTTTAGGGTTTACCTGGACCCCAAGAAAGCTACCTTGTTAAGTTAGTTAAGGTTCCGAACTATGCTTTCCTTGTATAATAAGACCTTTCAAAGGTAGGTTATTTGGTACTCTCTAGGTTCACATCTACGATCAAGGTCCAAAAGCCCAATTGAGCCCCAGGTACATCAGAAGGATAGTGGACAGCACAGGTGGCTCGCGCACCTACGCCGCTGCTACTGACGTACCCGATGCGGTCCCTGGCAGGGCCAATTGAAGGTTTGGGGGTCTAGGCTGATTTGTCATTATGACTTCGGGGTTTCAAAACTTGATGGTCATTTCGCGACCGAAGCCTCCAAGCTACGGGCACGAACACTGGTTAATACTGCTAGAATGCTCCGGGCGAGGGCGTAACCCGCAGCCCTCCCGCCACGCGACACCCTGGACCCGCCCAAAATGCAGAAGGTAAAGCTCAAACCCTAAACTTCCTGAGCCCTAAGAAACCTACTGCACATGTTTGGGACATCCTTCATATGGTTTCTTTAATCTGTCTATACTTGAAAAGGCTTAAAGCGTAGGGCGAAATAAAGTAGGCCGCTGCTTAATCATTCCCTCTCCTGTGATAGGGTCAGAATAGTACGGATCCTGATATTCGTGCCTTCGAAACTGTTTGAAAGCCGAGACATAGCACACGATTCTAGAATCCTGCCTAGAATCCCTGGAAATCCCTACACGAAATCCTTGACAAAGCTTTTCTTTCACCAGGCCTCTGCAGTGGGAACCAAGCTCCCAACAACTCTTCGGTTGCTGCATAGAAGGTCCTCAGCTCATCGGAATCTTAAGGTAGAGAAGTGTTTAGAGTCCTGTTAAGAGTTTCTCGCCTCATCGCTTTTGCGTTCTCTCTAACTCTTTCTGTGGGACGTACATCTACTGAATTGTATGTGCATCTGGTCTTAGGAGTCTTAAGGGTAACAAGTTAGTACAGGATCCCTAAACCCTAAACCCTAAACCCTAAGGGCAAGGCTACATCTCTGGCTGTGGACGCTTTACGAAACATCTCCGTCAAATTACTCGGATTCAAGGCCAGGGCTTCAAGGCTTTAGGGTTTAGGGGGTGTAGGGGGTTTAGGGTCTTAAGGGTTTAGGGGCTTTAGGGGTTTTAGGGTTTAGGGATTTAGGGGTTTTAGGGGTTCAGGGTTTAGGGGTTCTGGGGTTTAGAGGTTTAGGTTTAGGGGGTTTAGGGGTTTTAGGGTTTAGTAATTTAGGGGTGTTAGGGTTTAGGGGTTTAGGGGTTTAGGGTTTAAGGTTTAGGGTCAAGTTTGGGGCTAGAACAGAAAACACGGCACACGGTACCCTATCTACCGCTCTACATATCAATCAACCAATCAGTCTACCTACCTACCTACCTACCTACCTACCTACCTACCTATCTGTCTATCTATCGATCTAGCTATCTAGCATCTATGCACCTATGTAACTATGTATCTATGTATCTATGTATCTATGTATCTATGTATCTATCTATTTGTCTATCTATCTATCTGTCTATCTATCGGTCTATCTATCTATCTATCTATCTATCTATCTACCAATCGATCCATCTGTCTATCTTGTGTATCTATGATCTGTGCATCGATGTATCTATCAATCTATCTAGCTATCTATCTACCTGTTAATGTTTAATGAAGTCCTTGAAGCACTAGCCAGATTTGCACCTACACTACACCGTTTACCCGCAACCCAGACTCGCATGCCATGGTATCCTAGATCTCTGAAAATCGACAGCTCACCTATAGGCCCCATAGTAGTTCTTTTTGCAGGGGGCTCATATTTAGAATCCTATGAGGTAATCCCCACAAGGAACCAGTATATATGGGGCCTTTGGGTAAACCCGAAAAGCCTTCAGAAAAAGGAGCTCTTTTGTCCTCCACCTTCGTGCGTATGTCAGTCGACACGCAGCGTGGTCTAAGTTTTGCCATCCTAGGATTTTGCGCCCACCTGGCGCTTTTTTTGTAGAGTCTCACATTTGAGGCCATAGGGTCTCAATGTCTAGAGTGCAAGGGTCGGGTTTGCGGGGTTGTGGCTTTAGGATGTTGACGGTAGGGGTCAAGGACTTCAGACTGAAGAAGGGTTGAAGAGCGAATGACGTAGGGCCTTAACAGTTAGAAGAGGGTTTTGGGGGCTCTTTTATAGTATAATTGTAATAAGGAGCCCTAAGAATAAGATTGTGAACCTCAGCGGTAGCTCAGCAAATCAGCAGGCGGCGGAACGCACTTCTTCCCCTGCCACCGAAAACATCATAGAGCCATAGACCCGGTCCCCAATATCCCACTGCCATGTCCACATGCGATTTAATTCCGACTTACATTCATGTAGGGGCCTGAATAAGTGTTTTCGGGTACATAAACCCATACTTAGAACAAGGAGCCCCCAAAATAGCAGTGGTAATTTTTCGACCCCTATATTAGGCCCGAAGCCTAAGCCCTGCAACGAAATCTGGACCCTCCACTGTGGATGAACCCTAGACCTGACTTTTGTTCCTAAGCCTGAAACCAGAAAATGCTGAACTCCCGTCAAGAACCCTACAACTCCAGGGTTTAGGGGTTTAGGGTTATTAAATTCCGTCAAGAACCCTACAACTCCAGGGTTTAGGGGTTTAGGGTTATAGAATTCCGTCAAGAACCCTACAACTCCAGGGTTTAGGGGTTTGGGGTTATAGAATTCCGTCAAGAACCCTACAGCTCCAGGGTTTAGGGGTTTAGGGTTTAGGGTTATAGAATTCCGTCAAAACCTACAACTCCCTTACGGAACACGACCTTGGCCCTCGACGACAGACTCTCCCGAAACTCGCCGACCAGTCTATACACTCTACACCGCATGATGCAGTCAGAGAAATCTCCGCAGCTTTTGAGTTCAGGATACTTGAAATCTGGGGTTTATGGCTTAGTGATTAGGGTACTTGAATGCACTTCTGTTCAGAATGGGACTCCATCCCAGAAGTGAAGCTCAAGACCGCCAGGCTTCGCGCCACGCACCCGAGGTCCAGGGTTTTGGGCTTTGGGGCTCTGGGGTGGTGTAGGGTTGACAGTATAGGGTTCAGGGTTTTGGATCTTAGGGTTCTAATAGGGTTCAGGGTTAAGTTCAGGGTTCAGGCTTATGGGTATCGGATCTGGGGTGTTCGGGTTTAGGATTTTAGGCTTTTTCGCAACAAGCATCCATCCAAGTACCTCGTGATCATGTATGTTCCTCCTCCAGAAGAAACATGTAGCCTACAGTAGTACTCTCCAACAAAGTACAAAAACGACTGGGTCCTCCAAACCCCTGGTGCCCGCTAGGGCTGAGGGTATAGGTCCAGGGTTTAGGAACCCTAAACCTTAAAACCCTAA